GAAATACTTCGCCTTACTAGTCTACGAAAATATTAAAATACCTGACTCCATCAAGAATCTAGATCTAAAAAATTTAAACCTTCTCCTAAAAAATATTTGGTAAGTATACAGGGTGGTCCAGGATTAATCTGAAAAATTTTAATGATCGATAGAGCCTGAAAAAACAATAAAAACAAACCCAAAAATATTTTTTAAAAATACACACTAACACACTAATAACCCTTCAAAGGCAAAAAAACGTTTTTTTTTTAAATAAATTCTGCTCAAATTTTGTGTAGGTAAAATTTCTTACAAAAAGCCCAGCGGCGGAGATTTTGGGGGTTTTCCCCTTTTTACCCCTATATTTCGACACCACTGGATTTTATTGGAAAATCATCAGATTTCTTATTCAATTTAGAAGCAAAACTTGTGTGTTAAATTTTCATAAGATCAGTGGTTTCGGAGACTTTAAAATTTCAAAAACATCGAGTACACGGAATTTTATCATATTTTATTTTAAATCGGTAACAATTGAGGAGCGTTTATTCAAAAAGGGACATGTCCATTTTAGCGATTTGCAGAAATAAGTCAAAAGCAAAGGAATTCTGTTATTTTTGACTTGTTTCTGCAAATCGCTAAAATGGACATGTCCCTTTTTGAATAAACGCTCCTCAATTATGCCACGTTATCAGTTTATAAAATATTATAAAAATAAACTATAGCGTCCAGGAGTTATCGTGCAGTTGTTACTGATCCATATTTTTAGGTTTATTTATTTATTTATTTATTTAGTATATTTTATTTAGTATATTTTAATGTGCCTTCAACAGGCACCAGGCCCAATTACAGAAGTACACAACAAACACAAATAAACAGCCATACCCCTGGTTGGATTCGAACCCACGACCTCTCGGCTTGTAGTCCGCAGTGCTAACTACTACACCACCGAGGGCGGTTGTTTTATTGTAACGTTGATTGAGGATTACAATCAACGTCTGTAATTAATACTTTAATTGTATTATAATACAAAATCAAACCAACCCAAAAACCACCCTATTGAAAGCGATTATTCCATTATTTCATTGGTAAATTTTTATTGGCCCAATACAATTGCTCAGAAAAAAAATATTTTTTTATTACTAAAATAATAACAAAAGTTACGTGTACACAGTGTTTATGAAATTTTAAACTGAAATATCTCCGAAACCATTGATCTGATAAAAAATAAACATAAAAGTTTTGCTTTTAGATTGAAAAAGGATAAAAATAAATCTGATGATTTACTAATAAAATCCAGTGGCGTCGAAAATATGAGGGTAAAAAGGGGAAACCCCTCCCAAAATCTCCGCCACTGGGCCTTATGTAGGAAATTTTCATTATATTATCGACGGAAGCTTAACCTACGCAAAATTTGAAAAGAATCGGTTTAATGGTTTAAAAATTATTTTGAAGGACTATATCTCCGTTAGTATGCATTTTTGAAAAATGTTTTTGGGTTTGTTTTTATTGTTTTTTCAGGCTCTATCGATCATTAAAATTTTTCAGATTAATCCTGGACCACCCTGTATACAGTATTTCTGTGGGTAAAAGGCATAAGGGGATAAGTAAAAAAAATCAAGTTTTCAATAGAGCCTTTAACGTGTTCGCATTAATTCAGGAAATATATTTATGTTTAGCGGGTATACGCTCTTGTTAGCATATGAAATGGGCTAACAAAGGGGTATACAGGCTAACCATAAATATATTTCCTGTATTAATGCGAACACGTTTAAGGCTCTACTGAAAAATTGCTTTTTTTGACTAATCCCCTTATGCCTTTTACCCACAGATTTATTTTGTTTGTTTCGTTAATAATAAATTTGTATTTCTTCTAAGTGTCTAGTAAGTGTGATTACGGTGAGTTTTTAGAAGTTACATATATTTTTTTTTATAAAATAAACAAAACTTCAAAGACATAAACATCCGAGTTACAAAAATAGGTCTGCACGATTCAGTTGGTTTTAGACAACATTTTTTGGGATAAAAAAGATCTGATATATGTGCTGAGTCCCCCAAAAAATAGTGCTAAATTTTGTTTGAATGTACTCGTACATATCCAAAGTAAACACTTAGCATTATATTTTATGTTGCAACAAATTATTTTATTTTAGTTAATACGTTTGTTTTTTCCAAGTTAACTTGTTGTCAAAGACTAAAAGACCAAACAATTTTAATCAATCTTAAATCCATTAATTTAAAGGGTATTAGAAAAACTATACTCTCCAAACGTTCATAACGTTCTTATTAAACCAATTAAACATTTTTTCTAAGATTAATTCAAAATTGATGTAAGCATTTCAAAAGTATTACCTTGGTAGACTGCTGCATTTTCATCAGCATACAATAATTTTTTTCCATTAACTACATCATTTTTAATTAAATCATTAATGTACAAAACAAAAAGTTAATGTCTAAGGATTGAACCTTATTGGACACCTTTATTTAAATCTACAGAATTAGGTTAATTTAAAAGTTTGCTTTGTTTTTGACATAGAACAATTAATTAATTGTTTGGAGAGATCAAATAAAGCAGCAATCGTTAAAGTTTTACTTTTTCATAATTTAAGAATGTGGTTTATTAAATTAAATATGGCTAATTCGGTATCACTACCCTTCATAAAGCAATACTGGGAATTTGAAATGATTTTATATTTTTACAATAATTATAATAAGCAATATCCTGATATTTATCACTGTTGCTAATTTATATCATTTCTTTAATAAACAAATGCTGATTTTATCCTGTAAACAAGGAATTTAAAACTTTTTCAGGTGGACTAAATATGATATTATAAAATTTTAAAACCAAATTTTTGTAGAATTATTCTAGATCCTGTATAAATTTTGATATAATTGGCTCAGAGACAGCAATTTATAACGGTTTAAATAATTAAAATCTTGTTAAAGTAAGTTACAAACTAAATTCTTTTAAAAACTACTTGAAATATTATTACAATATTTTAACATTAGTTTTATACATTAATAATCCTGATTATGTACAAATTTTAATAACACTCTTGAAAAAGTATACTATAGATAAAAAATTGGATTATTTTGCAAATCATTTAATAATAATAATAATATGACTTTATTGCAGTAACATTTACATACAAGTAAATACATTCATAAACTGCAAAAGGCGAAGTTCAGTATGCCACTTAAGTGTACTACTGCTCTTCCACTTAATTTTTATATTCCGGGTATACATATATAGAAAATAGAGAGAAAAATAATTAAGATTGGGTAAAAGTAAGGAATACATTTAAGGAATAACGGTACTCAATGCTAATAATTAGATAACAAACCAAATTTGAAGTAAATAAAAATAATAATTACATTATTAAAGAATATTTTGATTATTAAATATTAAGGAACGGAGTTTAAAATAGGTAATTAATTTGGACTTTAGTTCATTAGGGATACGCTTGTAATATTTATAAATATTAAAAAGATCTTTCAAACATTTTGTGTATGTGGAGCGTAGGAATTATAGTGTTTTTATGTCTAACATTTATGTTATGAATATCTGTTCTAAAATTTATTTTGTTGTGTAGATAAGAGGGCATTAAATTTTGTACTTTATTATTTTATAATAAAGCGCGAATGAATTAAAGTTTCTACGTTCCTTCATGTTCAGCCAATTTAATTCGCACAATTTATTAGTTACAAATCTAACAATATTCGCTGAACGTAATACAATTTTAAAAGAATTTAACCTTATTATTAATAAATATATTTTTTTTAATTTAAAATATAATTTTGCCGTTCCTTTTTAAACAAAATCAATTAAAAAATTTGGGTTAAAAATTTTAACCCAAAATATTATTAAAATTCATTTATTAACTTCTGGTTATTGTTTTCAGCGGCCGAATAAATCCTGAAAAACCCTGAAAAGAAACATGCCACGAATTTTAGTCTAAAACCCGCATTTTCTACTACTCATCATCCGCTTTTTTCAATGGTAAACAAAATTAAGTCCTGAATTTTTTTATGTATTGAAAACTAAGTAAGCCTAAGTAATCCTATTTATCATTGGTAAGAGCGGAAAAACGTAGGCAAAAAACAAGTTACGTAATTTTAAAAATTTAAAAAGTGGACTTTATTCAGTTTGGCTCTATATATATTAGGGTGTGCCAAAAAAGGCGATACTGTTTTTTTTTGCTTTCCATGAAAATTTCATAGAAACCTATAATTTTTATTTTAAGAGGTCCATCATCAAGTTTTAAAATTTCCCATAGAAATATTTTTTTTTTATTTTTCTCCTTGCATTGTATGTAGCCACTTTATTATTTAAATAACTGATGGTCCTTAGCAATTTCTAAAAATTACGTTGTTTAGGTTTTTAAACTTAACTATTGATAAAACCGCCCAACAGTTTTTCTGTATCAGTTCTAGTTTTTAAATTATAAGGAGGGGTTTTTTAAGAAAAAGATGCATTTACAGTACAAAAATATTTAATTATAAAAAAACTATACACTCTGGAATTTTCTTTTATATGATTTTCTACTGTATATGAATGATGAAGTGGTACTCTGAATACTCCAGCAAAAATCTGCCATCATATGTGCATTCCAGCGACCCTGGAATCGTTCTTCCATAGTGCGAATATCCTGGTGGAATCGTTCACCCTTCACTCATATCACCGAGATTTTTAGGAAAGTGATCTAAATGGCTATGAAGAAAGTGTACTTTGATGCCCATGTTGCATCCAAGTCGCTGGAAGTGAGACAACATATCTATAACGCGCTCAAGGTAATCATCACCCTTTCTATTACCTAAAAAATTTGGAATAACCCAAACAAAGGAATCCCATGCATTTTTCTTAATCTCTGACATTGAACTGCTGAAATTAGAATCGTTCTCTAGTTTACGAATTTGTGGGCCGTTAAATATGCCTGCCTTGATACAAGAGGTACATTGATAACATTAAGGCTACCTGGAACTAGTGCTTCCCTAGAAGGCCATTCTTTTCTTGTCCAATGTTATGATTTAACTCTGCTATCCCATAAACATATAAAGCAGGGATATTTAGTATAGCCGCTTTGTTGGCCTAAAAGGAAATTAACCATCTTAAGATCAACGCAAATTATCCATTTATGTTCGTTATACTTTATCTTCTTCAGGACTATTGCAATTGTAGGGTATTCTTCCTTAAGTTTAGTTGAATGTGCGATCGGTAAGGAGCCTAGTTTATTTCCATTATTCAATAGTACACACTTTAAACTGCGTTTTGACGAGTCGATAAATAAACGCCATTCGTTTGAATCATATCTCTGTAAACCCATGGCAGTCATCAAACCAGAAAGATCAGTGCAATACACAAAATCATCCTCTTCAGCGAAAAAAGGAACAAAGTTTTTTTCTCGAGTGCGGTAATACGAAACTTTAGTTTCTTTAGTTATAAGATGTCTCTCTTTCAACCAGGAAGCTAGTAATTTGAAAGAAGTCTTCGACAGCCCAAGGTCTCTAATTACATCACTAAGCTCGTTTTGATTCAATGGTCTCGGTTGGAAATAATTTTTTGAAATGAAGTCGTCATCGCTCACGCAGCTTGGATCGTTCAATTCATCAGAACTTTCTATAGATGTAGATGGTAGTGATAAAAGTGGACCTTTCGAACTTCTAATAGGCCTAACAGCTGATGTTGATGAGGGGTAAATCCATTTAGAGCGCGCTAGCGGTTCGTCTTGTTGATTCCTGTTATATTCACAACACAAAAATAGCAGTCATCGTGATGATTTAAAGGTTTACGCCAGATCATTAGAGATTGAAACTTAAAAGAGGGTCTCTTCTTAGTGGCCCATAACCGTAATTCTTCAACACAGATTTTGCATACAATACTGGGCACACAGTACTTGTTCCAATGGAAAACCAAAACATTCCAAATACGCTTGTTTCACAAAGTCTGACACACTCAAACGAAAATTTAAAAAACATATTCACCACAAATGTTACAAAAACAATTTGGATCGTTAATGCAGAGCCTTCTTGATAAAGACATGATGGAAATTACAAAGATTTATGTAAAACTCGTATGTAATAGATAGTTTATGTAAACAGACTTAATATGAAGGCAGTAGCTGTATCTGAAAAACTCGAGCTGCTACAAAAAAACTGACGGTCGATTTAAAATTATTGACCTTGAATTAGTAAACAACCGCTTAAATACTTCATGCAACAGGAAAAAACTTTGATTTTGTTGTGTTGTGTAATAGGCCAAACACCTCATTCCAGGGAAACGTTAAATAGTTTAACTTTAAAATGGTTAAGGAGTTAAAGGTTCATATATTTATTAGTGTGGTTTGTTTATGTGCTTTGGGGATTCGAGTTTTAGAAAATATACTAAATTTAAATGGTACTTATAGAGGTTACAGGCATTGCAATGATAGGTACTACTAAGTTATGGGGATCGCAAAGACATTACTAAGTTACAGGGTCAATGCTAAAATTATTCGTTTAAATTATAGGGTTTTTTTATTTTAATTAAATGAGATTTCAGGCTTAAGGTTTTTACATTATCAAAGTTTTACTATACATATTTAATTTTTATTAATATTTCCGATGAAAAATTGATAATAAAATGAAATAACTTCGATCTTGTATTTTCAAAATAAGTAACCTTCTAGATGTCTTATTTGACTAAACTATCGAGATTCACGTTTTTTAACCTATTATTATAATGTTTTATGTAAATTTTGGTATTAAAATGTTAAATTTTAAAAGTTATTAAAAAAGTAAAGTAACTTCGTTTTTATGGGTTTATTTTTGCAAACAAACATATAGACTTTATCTGAGTTGATGGAGTGTTTAATCTACTTAAATAAGTTTGTCGGTTTAATTTACGAGAAACGTGTCTGACTTTTAATAACGATTCCGTGACACGTAGTGTCATAATTAATATATTAAAAAAGCGAGAGGGATTATTACTTTTATCTGAAGAATGTTCCGACATCTGCCCTTGGAAGAGATATAGAAAGTGTTGTACGTGATAAAGACGATTCGGACCTGTTATAAATAATACAGAGATTCGTGCTCTGGCCGCGAATTGTACGAAATGGCCGGGCCTTAAAACGAAAACCACGATTCTCTCTCCGTCTCACCTACAGACCCCATAACGTTTCCTGATATCGTTATACAACCCGACGACTTATTTATACCGGACCAATTTTTTATTCATCACAGACCGGGAATTTCTTGCTGTGTACATTTTTTATTAAACTCATTTCTTGGTGTAACGACGGATCGTCATACCACATTTTGTGTGCAACAAAAAAACCTCTTCATAAACCAACTTTACTTTACAACACAAATATTGCAAAAAAGGAAAGACGATTCTGGTTAAGGTCTTAACTCGACAACATGATAATAATTAGGGTTGTGCCTGACCGAGATTTTTACCTATTAGCCGGCGGCGGCTCTACCTAGCGGAAAATATCAAGTATTAAAAATATGTTCGGTAGTGGACCATGGTGCAATCATAATTATGCTTTTTAAATAGTGTTCCGGGTCATTTTTGACTGATTAATTTTAAAAGACAAAGACGAGGATGATGTGCCGTTATCTACACATTGGTTCTTAAAAGAACCGTATTTCTGACGAAGTTTCGGTACAATCTCATGTACCATCTTCAGGTCTTATCTGCTGGGCTGCTGTTACTGCTCTGCTGCGAGCTGGACGTGAATGTTCTTAAAAACAATGATATTATGAACGTTTTTTTTGTACCTCAGAATTGTTTCTTTATTTTTTTGTTAGCTGTTTTTTAATAAATATACGTTTCTATTTAAAATTAAGTAATTTTACTCATGCCTTCATTTCTTTAGACAAACTAAGGAATTTGACTGGCGCTTAGTCAATTGACCGGTCAATTGACTAGTCAATTGACCACAAAAGATTTTGAACTGTCAAAATCACAACCCTAATAATAATAGTATATTTTGCGACTAGTGGAAGAACGAAGAGATTCCTAGAGCGTGGAGTTTCCGGCACCATCATAGCAAGTGCGGTAATTCGCGAGTGCAATCTCCTCTTTTCACCAATAGTATTTTATTTTAATTACCACAAGGAATTTAAATCCAATTTTATTTAATATTTTAAGTAAACATAACATGATGTAATCGCAAATATTTTTGAAATTTTTGAAAACTTTTTTACAAAACATTTGCCCAAACTACTACTACACATACTTGAGCTTTTGTCAGTAGGGTGATCCAGAAGTTTTTTAGGGGGGAATTTACAAACAATTTCTTTCCTGAACATATTTTTATAATATTGCAGTTATTTGAAAACTGGGGTTATTAAAATACTAAATTTTTAATTGTGCACTTTTCTTAGCAGATAATATTGAAAACAATGTTTACAAAATTGCAATCGTAAAAATTCAGTTCCTTTTCATATAATGAATTTTTTTTAGGATTCACGATTATTTATTTATTATGTTTTTTAATTTCATCTTTAAAACGCCCATTATAGTACATGTTTCCATGGCACTAAATGCCCTTTTAAATACACATTGACAAGTTGTAGCTTTATGGGCTAAAGTTAGTTTTATGTCAGTTGAAAATTGTTAAATATCATGCAATCGTTAAAAGAAAGTGCCTTTCTTGTAAAATAATACTAAATGTGAAAATTATTTTATTATCTCGATACAACAATATTAAATACTTTTTCAACACCAATATTTAAATCTTGTTCTGAACCTTTGATTTCGCTGGAATTAAACTGATTAACCATTAAAAATTTCGGGTAAGAGTCCACCGTGGAGTGCCCATAGAACATTATCTTTACTTTCACTGTAAAAAACTGCTTCTAGATCGGATTTAACCGGTGCTTGATCCATTTACACATAAAAATTTGACATTTTGACCGGCGCGCCGGTATTGGGAATCTAAGTTACAAAATTGAAGTTATAATGGTTACTCTATTGTTTAATTTTTAGATAATAATAGTAGTAATCGCCGACGGTGGTCGAGTGGTTAGTGCAGCTGACTACAAGCTGGAGGTCGTGGGTTCGAATCCCACCAGGGGTATGGCTGTTATTTGTGTTGTCCTATTGTGTAATAGTCCTTCGGAGGGGACTTTAAGCCCGCGGTCCGTTCCTACCCCTAACCCGCACAAGCCATTCAGTTGGCTTATGGGACTTCTTAAGAAGTAAGGGTGGAACTAAAAGAGCACTTTTGTATATAAACTTTTTTTGTAAAGTTATCGTAGAAAAAGTATGCAACTACCTAGTGCCCAACAGTACCATTAAAGTACGTCAGATGTTTAGACTGGGCAAATTGGATCCCAATAAAACCTCTCAAAGACTCATTAAAATCTGTTTTTCTTCTAATGATACCCCACATATTTAAAATATCAGAATTAATTTAATTTAACTGGTTGTGGAACCAACCTTTCTAAACTTCTAACTTTCTAAAAGCACATTAACGTTTATTGATTTATTGCTTCGTCCAGCGATGACTATGTTACCAATGTATCTTCTATACTTCAGACTATTACTTTTATAGGTCTAAATAACATTAATTTTAATTTATTTTCGAGGATTTGCAAAATATAGCCCTTTGCTCTAGACGTAAAGGCTAAACTATAAATATTTAATTTATACGTAATAAACCTATTTAATGTTTATGCAGTAATTAAAACGTTTTCTTCGAATAAAACTAAGAAACCCTGCCTAATAGATTATTTAAATTTAATTTACTCACTAAGGGCCTTATGCAAAAACGTTAATTTATGTATATCAGCTGATTTACGCATATTCACTGATTTAAGTTTGAACCAATTTGGCAACATAGCAAAATTTAAATAAACTTAAATATGTGTTTATTAAATTATAAGAGTAATACATTTTAAAATGTATTATTAAATATTCACATATATGTGTATATATATATTTATATATACAGGGTGGGCCAATGGAAAGTTTCCACCCCGGTTATCTCAGGTGTTACGAAAAATAATAAAAAACGCTCGCACCCGTCGATTTCTGATTTGAGGGGGACAATTTATTTTTATATTTTCAACCCCTTAACTTCAACCCCTAAGCGTGGGTGATAGTTACCCCCAAAATTTAAATAGGAAAGGGGGGTCGAGTGATACTTCATTTTGAAGGTATTTTTGCCCTGATTATACCCTCCAAGTTTGAACTCGCTGCTAGCATCCCCGTGGATATGACAGCTTGTTAAAATCTTGGAAATAGATCACGTTTTATTATAAGTAAAAACAATACTTACCTTCCTTAATAAAAATATCTACTAATTAAAGTTTTAAAGTTTTATTATTATTAATAAAAAGTTATTTACATGATATTTATTTAATAAACTGTTCAAAATGTCCTCCATTAACATTCATGCAAAAATAAAATCGATTCTCTACCTCTTCTCTAACATTCTGCAACATATCGGTAGTTATCCTTTGACACTCTTCAGTTATTCGTTCTTGTAGAACTTGAAGAGAAGCTGGCTGTGTTTTATAAATTTTAGACTTTAAATGGCCCCATAGAAAGAAGTCCAGAGGTGAAAGATCAGGGGACCTTGCAGGCCACTCAATAGGACCTCTTCGGCCAATCCAATGGTCTCTAAAATTTTCATTTAAAAATTGCTGAACGGGTGCTGCATAATGCGGTGGGGCTCCATCTTGTTGAAAAAACATTTCATTTTGCGACAAGTTATTATCTTCAGCAATAACTTCCCTTATTCTAGGAACAATATTTTCTTCAAGTAAAGTCAGATACATAGCCCCAGTCAAATTGCCTTGTAAAAAGAATGGTCCAATTATGTTATTGCCTAGAATACCTGCCCAGACATTTAACTTTTCAGGATTTTGAGTATGAGACTCTCTAAATAAATGTGGATTTGAATCGCTCCAGTATCGACAATTATGTCGATTGACTAATCCATGTAAAAAAAAGGAGCATTCATCTGAAAAGCAGACATTATACAGAAAATTTAGATTGCCAACACACCGTTCACTCATTTCTTCTACAAATTGTAATCGTCGATCATAATCATCCTCATTAAGTTCGTGAAGCAATTGTATCTTGTAGGGGTAAAATTTGTGAACCTTCAAAATTCTCCTTACGCTTGTTCGTGATATGCCGGAAACTTCGGACAATTGCCTAGTACTTAAGGTGTTATCCATTGCAATGTGCCCTATGACTGCGATTTGCATACCTTCATTCCTAACGACACGAATCGGATTATCTTTTTTGTTCTCCACTGTTCCAGTTTCCAAAAACTTTACCATCAGTTTCCTAATATAAGTATGAGAGACATTTTTGTCCTGATGTCTTTCATTAAATAGTCGTGCTGTTTGTCTTGCACAGTCATTGTTTTTGAAATAAGTATAAACTAATTCAACTCGCTCGGCTATAGTGTATACCATAATTAAATTTAGTTATAAGCTCTTGAACTAACGATAATAATCTTAATGATGATTGTGCGACAATATTTTGTAAATAAAGTTTACAAAAAACACACTTTTTTCTTCAAACGTAAAAAAACTGATGTTTTGCTAATATTTACTTTATTCCTTCGGCATACCTACAGACTGTCTCAAAAGTATCGCTTTTACTCTTATTAAAATAATAGCCAATTTTCAAGATTTTAACAAGCTGTCATATCAATAGGGATGATAGCAGCGAGTTTAAACTTGGAGGGTATAATCAGGGCAAAAATACCTTCAAAAAAAAGTATCACTCGACCCCCTTTTCCTATTCAAATTTTGAGGGTAACTTTCACCCCCGCTCAGGGGTTGAAGTTAAGGGGTTAAAAATATAAAAACAAATTGTCCCCCTCAAATCAGAAATCGACGGGTGCGAGCGTTTTTTATTTTTTTTCGTAACACCTGAGAAAACCGGGTGGAAACTTTCCATTGGCCCACCCTGTATATATATATATATATATTAGGGTGTGCCAAAAAACTCGATATTTTTTTTTCTTGCTCTCCACCCAAAATATCGTAGAATATGTCCGAACAAATATTCTGTTAAAAGCGAAGCTCATAATTTTAATTTTAAGAGGTCCTTCATCGAATCTGAAGTTTTGCCGCTTAAATAACACAGAAAACTGACTTTTTTACCTTATTTATTCTTGCAACCTAGGAAGAATTTTTTTTTCATAAAATTCATCACTAATTCTTACAAAGCATTAAATTTGGACAAAAAAATCTTATTAAGCCAAATTTCTATTTTCAGCCTGAATTTAATAGTTTAATATTTCATTCCAAATGCAATGAAAACATAAATTGCCTCTGTGAAAGAACAATTGAGAAAACTGAGTCCGTAAAATACCTCGGAATGATTATAAATAATACTTTTAAATTTTATGAACATAGCAACTTTATAAACAACAAACTAAAAAAATTAGTATTTACATTTTACAGACTCAGAGATATAGTACCGGTTAACATAATGAAAATTGCTTATAAGTCACTGGTAGAATCAATAATATCTTATGGTATTATTATTTGGGGAGGCACATACGAATCTCAATTTAAAAATGTAATAACAACAAAAAAATGGATAGTTAAAACGATATTATCAAAAAAAACGTCGATCCCCAACTGAAGAAATTTATAAGGAAATGGAAGTACTTAACTTTGACCAGCTCTATGCTTTAAATGTTTCAAAATTTGTTTACAAAAATCCTGAACTCAGAGAAATAGTACAACATACATATAATACCAGACATGAATTTCAAGAAATTCCAAGAATACCGTCAACATCTTTTGAAAAATCAATTCTTGTTAAAGGACCAAAAATATTCGGTATTTTGCCACAGAACCTCAGATCCATGAACTCATTTGGTTTATTTTGTAAAAAACTAAAAAATTTTATAGGTGAAAATGAACAATTAATTAAACAAATACTTAACAATACTTAATACTTAAATATTAACCATTATTATTGATATGGCTCTTTTCTTCTTATTTAAATTTCTATAATAAAATTTAATTTATATTATAATTTAATAGTTACGAATAACGTAATACATTTTTCGATGTTTAATTTCAAATTAAAATCATGTTTATTTTTGTTTTTTTTATAAAGTTTTCTTTTTTATAGAAATTACTACTATGTTTTTGTTAGATAATTTATAAGTAATTTATTTTGTTATACATACCTTAAAAACAAATATATTAATAATATCAAGCACAGCACGATTTCCTCCGAGAAATCAGGTGCACTCAATAAAATTTATTTGTTATATTGTTTATTAATTTTGTAATTTTTGCTGAATAAATTTATCTTTATCTTTATCATTATTATTTGATTTTTTACAGATCTTTAAATTTAAAGTTAATGATGACTTTATACGCCTGTAACTTTTAGAACATTGACGATACAAAAAATTCGCCTAAAATTTTTTTGTGGTCCATCAGACAAGCTAAAAAATTGCCATTTGACTTTTTCGTCTAACTGAAAAAGGCAAAAAACGTAAAATTTTAAATTTTTTTTTAAATTATTTTTTCGTCCAAATTTAATGCTTTGTAAGATTTGGTCATGGATTTTATAAAAAAAAATTCTTCCTAGGTTGCAAGAATAAATAAGGTAAAAAAGTCAGTTTTCTGTGCTATTTAAGCGGCAAAACTTCAGATTCGATGAAGGACCTCTTAAAATTGAAATTATGAGCTCCGCTTTTAACAGGATATTTGTTCGGACATATTCTACGATATTTTGGGTGGAGGGCAAGAGAAAAAAATATCGAGTTTTTTGGCACACCCTAATATATATATATATATATATATATATATATATATATATATATGTATATAATCCCACTAGGCGTCCTATATATTATATATATATATATATATTATTTCAGTGTTTGTAAAAGATTAATTAATTATATTATTATTATAAAAATTATATTATAATTATAGAAATACAAGACCTGTTTCTAAAAGGCTATGTTCTTTTACCTGTTCTTTTACAGGTACCAATAACAATAACTTTTTAGGCATTAAGGCAAATTTTTTGAAAATTAATGCAATGATGACGAAGACATCAAGAGGTAAAAAGATATTTAAAATTACATGTCCTAAAAAATGGGTGGGAGGTGGAGTTTCGAAACTTTTTGTAGCATGCATATAGTTTACCCTTGCCCCCTGAACAAAATCCTGGCTACACCCCCAAATTTTAAAACTTAACTGTTAATCCAGATTTTTTTTAAAATAAAAATATTGTTTTATATTCATATTTTTAATTATTTGTCAAATAAATATTACAAATGATAAAAACAATTTGAACCAAAAATATAAAAAAATAGTTTCATACACTGTGCCTGTTTTTGCTTTCGAGCAAAAACAATTGTTTTTACCTACTGGGTGTATTTTTTATTTTCTTATAAAATGATTTTTAACTTATTGGCAAAAACTGTTAATAATATTATAATATATGTATGTATATTTAATTTCAAGTTTAATAGTATATTTCTGGGCCCAAAAATAAATAGAGTGTAAATTTCCTCTGAAAAAAAGTCCCCTCTACCTTGTTAAGCCCTTTACCCAAAACCTACTGTTTCTATTTTAAGAGCAAGTACATAATTAAAATATTTTAAAGCAGAAAATAAGTTGAACATGGTATAAAATTTAAAATTCTTCAAAAGTATTTAAAAAATAAGAAAAATATTTTTTAAACACAATTTTGGTTTTATTTTATAATCCTTATTATTTTGTTTAATTATCTAGGCATTTATGGAAGGTATGTATGTTTTTAATAATAAAAAAAATAATCAATAAATATTTTCACCCAAGTTCAATGTAAAGGGTAATTATTTTACAATGAAACCAAAAAAAGTTAAAAATCAATTTGATCAAAAAGATATTTGATATAATTAACATGGTAGTAATTGTATCTTTAATTTTTTTTTATTTTTAATCATATCTTTGTTATAGGTATGTTTACCTTAAGTATGAATTTAATATGAATTTATTTTTTCATATATATTTTCAAACAAAAATACTGTCTATTTTTATCCATATTTTAAATAAGTCGTAACGACTGAAATAAATTATATCAACCGATTTACATTTTAGATGATTTTATTGGCCAAAAAATTAATTAGTCAAAAAGACTAATTTAATAGTTATTAGTGGCTGTTTTTTCACTTGTACGATGGTTCATTATGAAATACCATGGTATCCCAAAATTTAACAGTCTATTCTTATGCAAAATTGTCCCCTGAATCCGAAGATACCATCAAAAATTTTGAAAGTGAATCAGTTTTTGAGATATAGTCAATTCCATATTAAATGGAAAATTGACTATATCTCAAAAACAGTTCCAGTTTTTTAACTTTTGACGACATTTTCGGATTCAGGGGACAATTTTATATAAGAATAGGCTGTTAAATTTTGGGATACCATGGTATTTCATGGTTAACCATCGCACAAGTGAAAAAACAGCCACTAATAACTATTAAATTAGTCATTTTTGACTACCTAATTCATTTTTTGGCCAATAAAATCATCTAAAGTGTAAATCGGTTGATATAATTTATATCAGTCGTTAACGACTAATTTAAAATATGAATAAAAATAGACAGTATTTTTATAATTTTGTGATACCATGGTATCCCATGGTTTACCATCTTACAGTGCTAATTTAACCGCGGTAACGTGCGTACCGGCTGAGTGAATTAGTGTGTTTTCGAAGACAATTTGCTAGCAAAGTGTAGAAATTGTTTCAGAAGTGTCTTGTGGGTGCCTTCGGGTGTATATAGTGGTGGTTGATAGAAACAGGATCCCCTTAAAATTGATAAATTAAATACTAATAAAGTATTCACAAGGTATGTCCACTAAAACGGGCGACCTTGGGTCGCCCGAAAATAATTCAACCAAGTCAACGGAGAACGCAAAAAACGACAGGGCTGTAAAAAACGATAACATCGATGTCAACAATAAATATAATCTATCGGACATTGGCCCCTACTTTGTTTATGTTCAAAGCAAAGAAAATTCTCAACGATTATTTCCACTAAGAGTTGGCCATTATTTATTTTCCAATGATATTTTTAAAAAATCAGTCGAAAATATTCAATCTTTGGGTTTTAGTAGAGTTAAAGTTATTTTGAAATCGGCAAATGCAGCAAATTTATTGGTAAATCACGAAATTCTTACTGCACAAAACCTTATATCATATATTCCAAAATACTTTACACAAAAAAAAGGAGTAATACGAATGGTAGACACCTTTTTTGATGACGATTACATCATGAATAATATTCAGTCAGATAGGAAAGTTATTGAAATTAAAAGAATGCATCGCAGGGTTACTGATAACGGGGAAATAAAAACTGTTAGAAGGCAAATGGTAATTATCACTTTTTTGGGTTCATCCCTTCCAAACTCGGTTAAAATTAACCTAGTAAATTTTCCAGTAGAACCATACATATATCCAACTGTTCAGTGTCATAAATGTTTATTTTACGGCCATGTAGAAGACCAATGCAAGGGTGTCACTAAGTGTAAATTTTGCGGAGAAAACCATCCCTCAAAAGATTGTCATAAAAAAGAAACCACGTTTTGTATTCATTGCCAAAGCAATGCTCATACCAGTATAAATAGAAACTGCCCGAAATTTATAACGCAATTTAAAATAAAGGAAACCATGGCATATCAAAATTTATCCTTTAAGGAAGCTGAAAAAATTGTTAAAAATCCTGCATACCCAAAGGTTGCATCCAACAATAGGTATGCACCTTTAGCAAATAACATAGAATTTCCAGGTTTATATTCTAATTCAAACCCCCCTCAACCCTCATTCTCCAGTGTGCTTAAACGCCCCTTAAGACCTCCACCGGTGAAAAGAAAAGCAGGTAAATCCCCTCCAAGGGAAAATGCAAGAACCAAAATCCTTAAAGAAAAAACGTCATCATCAATTTTACCCAACCCTTATCGAGAAGAATTTTTAGCATATAAAGATTCTCTAGTAGACCAAATATCAGTATTTCTAAACAAGGTCATAGCAACTTTAGTGCCCGAATGTCAACAAAAAACTGACTATATTAATGAACTTAAAATTAAAGATGCTCTTAAAGATTTTTTTACAAACTCTCAAAATTTAAATATAGAATTGGAAGACAATATGCAAATAGATATCGTCTCTGAAATATCAGATGACGATGAGTATTAGATTATTTAATAAATAATTTAAATTATAAAAAAAAAACAAACAATATATAAAAAAAAACAACAAATGGCAAATAAAAAGATTTCTTTCACCATTTTACAATGGAATTGTCGTTCTATTACTTCCAATAAACACCACTTAATAAATTACTTAAACAAAAATAGTGTTGATTTTGTTTTACTGTCAGAAACATGGTTAAAACCAAATTGCAATTTTTCGATTAATGGATATAAGCTAACCAAAAAATGTCGAGTAAATGGTAAAGGGGGTGTAGGCATATTGGTAAAAAACAATATCGCTTACAACGAGGTTATGATTCCCAACAATGCGAATAGCGAGATAGAACTATGTGCGGTTACATTATTGCAGAATAGTCTCACTTTGGTATCGGTATATAAGCCACCCAATGTAAAGGCTACAACAAATGATTGGAATACAATTTTTTCAAATTTTTCTGGAAATTTGTTATATGGCGGAGACTTTAATGCACATTATAGTTTATGGGGTTCCTCCCACAATAACAATCAAGGTTCTCGATTAGTGGATGCAGTAGACTTGTTTAATTTAGTATGTGTAAATAATGGTAGCCCTA